TTGTTTAACTCCAGTAAAGTCTGATCCAGCATCTGGTGCATACTAAGGTTTTCTTCTTTGGCATGAGCCACTTTCTCTGTGGTGGGATTAGAAAATTAAGTCATGAATAGCCGCACTTTGGACACAGAGGTGGTTTGTACATTTAGGCAGGCAAACTTCAGTCACAGACAAAGACGGGATGATTAGGGCAAGGCATGCTTGTAAACTACTGCTCACTGCCAGACAAGGACCCACGAAAGGGGAAGACGTCTCTGGCCCAAAGGAACTACAGGCACAGCGGGCTCTCACAGAGTGCTCAGGCGAACCTCCACCAATGCGCCACTCCGAACAGAGCACGGGCGGGGTCTGGTGAAGGTCCCCCGGCCACATACTGTGGGAACAGGGATGGTGCTTGCAGTCCTGTAGTTAATATGGCAGACACTTCTGAGTTACAGGCAGTTAAAGATCTGGGAGCTGTGTTGTAACACAACCTCGCAGAAGACAGATGATGTAAGGAGATTTTCTGACAACTGTGAAAATGATTTATTTTTGTTGCTCATTAAAAAAAAAATCCACGTTTCATGCACACTTCAGTAGGACATTCTCGTACTATTCTTATAGTGTTCTATTTATTATTAGCATGACATTCTCACCAGATTCCAACAACACCATTAGACGGAATAAAGGCATACCTTTCAGACAATCAGGGACTTCTGACATGAGCTCCTGTTTTCAAAAGCTATTTTGCCCAAGCATAGGTACATTTAATCAAACACTATACCAGATATTAAGAAGTTAGGAATATGAATATGTAATAGCAATATATATATTATATATTGCATCCTATATAATATATATATATATATATATAGTTACACACTCCTCTGCTTTGGCTTTCTAACTTAAACAGAACTCAGTTCTCTGGGGGAAAGAGAAAACAATTTTTGGTCCCCATCCTGTATCAGTTCAACAAGAAGACCTGCGATTGCTCAACTGTTATAAATATTTAATCCATATACACATAAGTAACTTTACCATAAAAGCAGTTTTGGGTTTAAAGAGAACTTAATGATTCCAGGTTATAAGAGGAAGAAAGATGCAGCTGAAGCCAGCCTTTCTGCTAATTCCCTCCACGTACAATTCTGCAGAAAGCAAGTGTTGTTGGCCCTATTAGTTGAAGGCATGGCAGTCTTGGACTTCCTGCCCATGGGCTCCATTCCTAGAATTCAGCCCAAGTTCTTTCCCACTTAAGTTTAATCCTCATTCAGGGCCAGCTTTAGTTGGTTAGTTAGGCGGCGGTTTTGCTCAAGTTGCTGGTAGAGTTGATCTGTACAGGTCAGCAAGCAGGTTAGCAGAAGAGAAGAGGCAGAAGGAAGAGAGGTTAGCCAGACGTGGTGAAGGAGTTAACAGACAGAACACAGAGATCCCTCAGGCCACCTGCCGAGCAGCTCACCCTTACCCGGTGGTCGCGTGTCCCATGCCCAGGAAGGATGGGTGGAAAAGGCCTGGCGGACTCAGGACAAGCCAGGATTTCTCTCTTGGTGGCCAGGGAGGTAAAGGGAGGAAAGGGGAGTGACAGGGCGAGAAACAGAGTGGGGAGTTCCTCTTGCACCTTACTAAAAGCACTGTGTGAATGGAGCCGCGCGCAGCTCCCGGCAACAGCTGGAGGAGCCAAGGCAGGGCGTCACGGTGGGGATCTTGCAGTGAAACTTTAACCTGCCCATTTAACCCACCTCTTCCCAGAACCCCTTTCACCTGCACTCCGGGGGCTGGCTCTCCTTTCAGGCAGAACCAGGAGGGTGCCCCTGGCTGCCTCACTCAGCTCTTAAAATGCATAACTAAGCTCTCTGTTGGTCCTCAAACACCACCATAGAGGGTGCACTCTGACCTCTCATCCAGCTATGACACAGCCATGACCCTATTCAAACAGCAAAACACGGTTTTCAAACACAGTTCTACACGGAACCGATGTAAAATTCATTTGCCGACTTCTTGAAGAGAATGGTGTTCTCGTGTGGAGTGAGATGGAGGCATACAGCACAAACGAGATCTCAAACATCCACAAGGCCACTGGCGCATCATCAGTCTTACACACGGTGTGTGATGTGTTCACGCACCATGGAGGCCAACCACAGGTGTCAGTCTGGATCTGACGGCTCGGGGGATGCCCTCCAAAAGACAAGAATCTGGCGCTTAACATGAAAAGTTGGAGGATTTACGACTGGTTCGAATGACAGTGACAATCTGGGCCCAGAAATCCTACCCCTGGGGAGAATGAACCTATCCAGCCTCTGGACCTCAGGGGTGTTGGGAAATTAATCCGTTCTTATTTCAGCTTTCTCTGATAAGTGGTAGGAGATGGGGAAGATGATAGACGCACTATGCTTTCTAGCTTGGAATGTCTGCCACCTTGTTCTACATTTTCTGGATATTCAAAGCCCCAGTCAAATGTCACCTCCTCCAGGTAGCTCCAAACATACATCTATGAATTCCGACTTGCTTCACTCCTCTACCTTCCACCAAAATAGCCCATCAAGGGCAAAGAACATTTCCGACTCATCTCTTCACCACCTCTCCATTGCCTTTCAGTGTCCTGCCTAGGACACCTAGTTGGGGTTTGCAGGGTTAAACCCCACTGGCACCTCGACACCACTGCAGGGGGGTGATCGCTATGGGCAGGCAGGATGTCTCAGTTTGCTGAGCCAGTATTTGGCCAAGCTGCAATTAAAGACCTTTGGAGAAACCCCAGAGAACCCAGAAGGTCAATGCGAATTCAGCTTAAATGACAACTGTCCCTATGCATCCCGCCTCCGGACCTGCTTCACTTCAGCTGCCATGGAGCTGGTGTGCCTGGGTAGCCTGAGGGCAGGGACCGGACGTGGTTTTACATTTGGAAGTATCTTCCCCTCCTGTCCTACCTCCCAGATGTCTGGAGCCTCCAGTACCCAGACTCAGGAATGCTTTCTGTTTGGTCCATCCAGGTTCTTGAAGCAGCTGCAGCTGTAGCCTGACCCTCTGAACTAGAAACAGGGACCCTGACAATTTCTTGATAAAATCAAGTTGCTATTTACCTCTAGTGCACCCATACCTTCTTGGGCTATTCTAGATTCCCAAAGCATCAAGTTTCCCACTTCTCCTTGTAGAATGTACTTACACAAAGTGTGAAAATCTCTGGAAAGGTTTCCCCTACCGCTCCCCCCAAAACAGATATGCCTCCAGAATTAACTGCGCCTCTGCTCAGCAGAACTTTGAGACCTGTTATTTTGTCTATAGTAGGGTTGCTCGGAGAAGAGCCCCCTTCTATTACTAGTAGGTTTAAAAAAATATATAGCAGGAATCATAGTCAAAAGCAGACCCAAGGAGCATTAAGGGGGAAAGAAAATCCATGAAATTATAGAAGGCTTTTACACTCTCAAGGGAGAGACACTGACTCCAGATTCTAAATTTTAAAAAATGTACTATGCCAGTATTACGATGCTTTAACTTATAAGCCCTTAAAAAGTATTTTTTCTCTGCTCTGAAGTCTTTGTGGAGTGACTGACAGTATTTTCAGTTTGTCTACATTTGAGTATATACCAACATGCTCAGGCTAACAAAGACAGATGAAGATCACTCACATTTAAAGCACAGGAGAAATAGAGCCAGACTGTTGAGTTGCAGAAATGTTGGGAATTAAACAAAAACCCAAGTTGTAAGTTTAAGTTCTAATTTTGCAATTTCTTTTAAAATCACTTAACTGTTGTTTTTAAAATGAAATAGCAAGACCTAAATAAAATATAACTGTATTCTGGGGCACCTGGATGGCTCAGTTCGTTAAGCATCTGACTCTTGATTACAGCTCAGGTCATAATTTCATAGTTTGTGAGTCCCAGCCCGGCGTTGGCTCTGTGCTGACAGCATGGAGCCTGCTTGGGATTCTCTCTCTCCCTCCCGCTCTCCCCCTTCCCTACTCATGCTCTCTCAAAATAAATAAACAAAACAAAACAAAAACTATTCTGAACAATTCCTACTAACTACACTGTTAAAAAAAAAAAAGAAGGAACTCCAATGGTTATACTTTAATAACATCTAGAAATGAAAAAAAAAAAAAAACAGCTGTTATCACAAAGATTATATATGTACAACTCCTCATATATATGTACATGAGGTCCTTAAGGGCACAAAAATGAAGCCTGACTTAAATGTGACCATATTTAGAAAACTTAAGATGTCATCTCATGATCTAAATGAAGGTGGCTGAGTAATGAATATACTTTTAAAAAGCTTTAACTGTTCTTTGTGCTGTAAAAGGAGGATTGACAAGAACCTCAACTAACATAGTTTGGATCCAAGTTCCAGTATGTGAAGTCCCAGCAGTGTGGGACGGCTGTGGAGCCTTCGTCAGAGCCCTGCATTAGTTAGCCGCATCCTTGCAAACAGGGCCATCTCAGCACTGACACATCTAATGATGCTCTGCCTCTGGCAGAGGAAGGCACTGCTCAAGGCACACCTGGTCACTCCAACAAGTAACGTCCCCATGTGGGGTTTCTCAGTGAGGACTACACACCAGCACCATCACAATCTCAACAAAACAAAACATCCCACACTCTAACCTTTGGAAACCAAAACTCTAAGAGGGACCCAGGCATGAGTATTTTTTAAAAGTTCCGCATGGAAGTACTGCTTTAAAACTTTTTATATTCGTGTTCAGGATGAAAAAAAAAAAAAAAGGTAGCAGCCAAAAACTAACCCTCCTATGTGTGAAGCAGGTTTGCAGTTTTATTCAGTGTTGAAACTAAAATGTCAATAAATAAGAAGTAAAAAGAATAGCAAACAGGAATAGCTTACACAGTGTTTATTTTACACTGAAATGAGGAGCTTCTGTACAAGGGAAAGCAGTGTGCCTGGCTCTCAGGCAGGATGCTAAAAGAACAAGCCAGGTCAGCTGGAGAAGAGACAAACCGCAGAGCTCAGAGAGGTGGGACAGCCAGCTTGATGAAGGGGTCTCAGGAGAAGTGAAGCAAAGAAACTTATCTGCATGAGGAGAAAAGGTGGGAGAAAAAGAAAAAAAAAAGTGGCACAATGGCAAAAAGGAAAAGCAAACTAACAGAGGAGAGTAGCACTTGAAACAGGCAGGAAGCAGACATGCAAAACCCGCGGCCAACTGCACCTGCAGGAGGAGACCCCTTGCCCACGGTGTCTGGACCCGAGGCCAGCACGGGCCCCTTTGGGTGACGGCCCATCGTTAAGAAGGCCCAGGAGTTCAAAAACAGATTTTAAGCTAACTCACCTTTAAAATACTTGATCATAGTTGATGCTACAAGTTTTCCCTATAGAATCACCACATTTAGCACCCGAAAAGACCTTAGAGACAGATGTTCTGCTTCACCCCCTCATTGACAAATGAAGGAAGAGAGGATGCAATTCTACTTTCCAAGGCGACAGTCGTGTCTCTAATGGTGATGTGGAAATTCTATAGCCTGTAAGGCAGCAGGCACATGCCACTCTCGACACTACCATGTCCATGCATGGGTGGGTCTGAAACTTCCAGCTCATCTGGAATTCAGTGCCATATTATTAGAATGAAGAGAATGCTCTGGGCAACACTCCAGGTTAGAATTTAAAGTGGGAGAAATGTAATGCTTAGGTTGGGTTAGCAATCCTGGATTAGCTGTGTGTGCTCAAAGTTCTCATATGAACAAGGTATGTACTCCGACTCTCGCTGCCTCACACAGTTAACGGTGAGCCATTAACTCCTGAGCTCATTACACATGCTGTGTAATCGGGGTCTTATATCCCAATTCTTTGACACCAGCTGTCGTGTTCACTGTGAATATTTCAATGCCTTTTGTCTAAACACAGAAAATTAAAGGCTTGGTTATTCAGCAGATGAACCGTTACTCTCCAGAACTGTGAGAAGACAGTGAGGAAGAGATCATCTCTCACAGCACCACTCCTTAGGCTGTGGTGGATCTATCTCCTCTCAGATCCTCTGGAACTGGACATTTGAGGGTTCCTTAAATGTATAGTTCTTTTACAAAAATGACCCTACTGTATTTAATTGAATCTCAGGAAACTGATATTTGAAATTTCTGGGGAAGCTCCTGCACCACTGCATAGTCTTCAGATTTTGCTTGAGCCTAGTTTAATTTCCTAAAAGGGTAGTGCTCAAGTCATTCCTATTTCAGTTCGCCGCTTGGTGGGGACAATCTAGCTCAGAGATCGTGAAATTCTGAAGAGAAAATGATGTGTATAGACTGACTTAATCTACTTGGCTTTTACATTAGTAGAATGTGAGCAGACAATAACTATCCAAGATTATGCAGAGAAAGCAAACAGAAAGGTGTGAAGATGGAGATTCTGGAGGTAGAGAAGGGAGCAGTGGTGAGTTTATCATATTAGCGTGAGGGCACGGATGTGAGCAGGCAGGGTGCATGAACATTTACATGGAAGTCATATCGTTGAGAGCGTGGTCCAGCTCCTCGCTGATGGCTTTGTACTTCAGTTTCTGAGCGTACAGCTCGTCTATGACCAGGAAGTGGAAGGCAGAGGTGCAAGGACATGGAGAGTGATCAAGAGATGGAGGGTGAGCGAGGGTGGCATGGACACCATCCCCACACAGCAGCAAGAAAAGGGCAATGCATGAAGGAAGTGATGCCGCAGCAGGTGGCCAATGCAGGAGGCGTGCGTTTTGTTTTTAAATGAATTGAAACAAAAACAAAAGAACAAAACCCGTTAGAAAATAAAACAAGAAAGACGCAATATGAAAAATCGTAACAAATATGGTTGATCAGTAAATCATGTTAAACCCTGAACAGAACCTCAGAAGGCTGTCTCCTGGGTAGGTAATAGAACATTTTTCCTTTCTATATCTGTATTTTAATTACCCTGGTGTAGTCAGCCACCTGCAACTCTCCACAGTGGAGAAAATTCCCAAGGGCAGTGTTTTGGAAGAACAATTTGTGACGCTGTAATCTGCCTCTGCCTTCAAACCTGACTTCCTGACCAAACTAGACCACTGGGGTGTCGGTTTCTTAGTGCCCCGGTGAGCTACTCGTTTGGTCTTCTCACTAAGCGACCCTGTTACTGGACCACGAGGCTTGAAAAGTGAGGACAGCCACACGTTCATGGTGGTGTCGTGCCAGGTGTGCAATTTAGTTTTTGTAGTGACGAACGTTTCATACTTTGTGCGCTGTGGCAGTCTGTTTTACAACCACCTGCCACTCTCTCTTCTCCACTAGCTTGGTCCTTCAGTGCCTTCGCCGGCCCCCTCTGCCTTTCTTGTATACTCTATGTACTCTTCTTTCTTTCGTTTTCATAGCTGACCCTTCACAAGCCTCAGAGTTCAACATTTAGGATTTCCGTGAGACAAACGTGGGTGTTACCAAAACAAAGCCTAAATATTTTAGGGGAGAAAGGCTTGAATATAATCTCAAAAAACAATGTCCTATTACCCCCAAAGCCCTTTCAGAATGTAGACTGTTTACCAAGATACTAAGGACTTAAAAAGTCCCACAAAAATCCAATCCTTACACTGAATTCGTACTTGGAAGAGGAGTTGTGTCTGAAAACAAATCCATGCCACTCTGACAATTAGGAGGTATCACTAAGCAGAAAATACACTAGTTGTTCTCACTACAACCACAAATAAACCTGGCACGCTTCTCCAGAGTGTGAAGGAAGGCCGCATGGCGTCTATCCTTACAAAGACATGTGCCTCGTCTGGTGGCTAACAGTCAGCTGGTGAGCAGAGAACTCAGAGTTTAAGAGCCACAGAATGAAAACCCCAAAGGACAGGCAGGAGGAATGTGCAAGAGCAAAGAAGTATATTGAGGAAGATGCCCTTGGATTGGCAAAATGTTTTGCCAGGTCAGTGTTCAACCATAAGACTAAATTAAAAACCAAGCTTAAGATCTTACCTTCTAAGTCATCAATGCTTTTCTCCAATTTAGTTACTGACCTCTCCGCAAACTCAGCCCGAGTCTCAGCCTGTAATGATTCCATTTATTTTAGTCAAAATTGGGAGGTTTTACATTTGGAGGAGCTACAAATACAGGGAAAACTAGAGAATCAAAATCAAGCACAGCGCCCATAAAATGGGTCTGAAACTTTAGTCAGTCACTAGCAGAGTGCACTAGCTCCAACACTACCCTTGAATATTCCCGATGTGGATCACCATACTTGGGAAATGAAGCAGCTCTGACCAGCTTCATACAAATGGACTCATTTAAAATCCTGGCTTCGGGGGCACCTGGGTTGCTCAGTCGGTTAAACGTCCGACTTTGGCTCAGGTCATGATCTCACAGATTGGGGGTTCGAGTCTCGCATCGGGTTCTGTGCTGGCAGCTCAGAGCCTGGAGCCTGTTTCAGATTCTGTGTCTCCCTCTCTCTGTCCCTCCCCTGCTCAGGTTCTGTCTCTCTCTGTCTCAAAAATAAACTATAAAAAAAATTTTTTTAAAAAATCCTGGCTCCGTCTAAAACACTCATAGTATTACCTCCTTCAGCTTGTCAGAAAGAACCTTGATCTCTTCCTCATATTTGTCTTCCTTCTGTGAGTACTGTAATTAGAAAGAGGATTCCAGATGTCAGGCTACAGCTCACTCTATACTTAGGTCTTCTAATACAAAGAAAGTGCCAGCCCAGCCAACAGATGTTGAGGATCCGTTAGGAGGTAATGGAGCCTCTGATATCAGATGGCACACTACAATACGTTCTCTGTTTCCTTGCCTATTGTTTTACATGGGATAAGAACAAGATAACTTAGCCATGTGGCACTTGGTTTAAATTAAATTGTCACAGATGAGTCACATACTCAACATAAAAGACGTTCTCTATTAAAAAAAGAATCTGTTATCCAACAACCATCAGGAAATCACCTCAAAATGATGCCATTTGCTAAACAAATACTTTCATCAGCAGGGCCTCGGAAGAGAAAAAGGATGTGTATTTTGAGCAGCTCTTAAAAGATGCTTCTCCCCCACACCATGCTCCTGGCCTACCTTCTCAGCCTGAGCCTCCAGTGACTTCAAGTTGTTCGTCACAGTTTTCAATTCTTCTTCAAGCTCGGCACATTTGCTAATGTTTTCGATCAGAGGCAGAAAGGGTGGGAGACAAGCCCAAAGAAGGAGGAGAGAAAAAAGGAGAGGGATGGGAAAAAATGAAAACCGAGTCCGAGAGAACAAAGGGCTGCCTTAAAGTAGCCAAATCATCAGGTATTAAAAAGCTCAACTGTGTCAAGCACACTGCCCCCTTCAACTTGCACCAGCAGAAAGGCAGGGTGACAAAACTCCAAAAATTATGAAGTATGATAATTTGGCTTCTTTTTTGGCTGCACCAAAGAGCATTTATGAAGGAAAAACAAAGGAGTTTAAAGGACCCAAAGAAAGCACTTAAAGCAAGAGAGAAGACAGCAGAGGGTGTCGTTATACCAAACGAACCAGTAGACACTGGAAGCTGAAAGGCGTCTGGGTTGCAGTTAAACCTAAAACCACACATGAGCCATCAGTACCTTATCCTCTGCAGCCATTAATGCTTTCAAGGTCTGATCCATTATTCTTAATTGTTCTTCCAGCTGTCGAACTTGGCTGTTAGTGGACACAGGAAATGCACAAGGCCATTCTCAAAATCAGTGTGCAGGTAAGGCATGCAGTGATACACGCATTCATACAGACACCCCACACAAGTCCTCCGTGTTCCATACTCGTAGCTCATCCATGTCAGATGAGCACAGGAGGAGCCCGGAGCTGAAACAGGTAAATGTGCAGCTGCCAGAAGGTCATGCTGTTTAGTCACTGCTCTGTAGCGCCCCGCACACAGCAGACTGGCACCAGGCCTGCTTACCTTTCTGAGAGCTCAGCCCGCTCCTCTGCGCGTTCCAGGTCACTCTCAATGATGACCAGCTTACGGGCCACCTGCAGCAGGACAAACACAACACAAACACACACACACACCATGGGGATGGCAAGCTTTGAGTACAGGGGCAGGACATGAAGGTGGGTACTGGCCCCACCGGCCCCTCAAAGTTCTTATCAACAAATAAGATGACCCTCTTTCCCATGGAGGAGAGAGAAGTGACTCTCTACCAGGAGGGCCAGTGGAGAGCAGACCAGAGGCTTCTGCTCACAAAACCCAGGATGGTTCATTTCGAGGAGGCAGTCTCATTTTAAGCCTGACCCGGGTGAAGTCCATTTAATTACAGAGCAGCCAGCCAAAGCGTGGAAGGGGGGAGAGAGAGGAAATTCACCATCTTGAAAATAGCAGCATGGTGAGACAAGATGTATCTGATGCTATGAAGGTAGGGGCTGCCAAAAAACACTGAAAATAATCCTGAGAACTCTATCAAGTTAAGAGCTCTGTACCTCAACCTCCTCTTTGTGGAGGAGGTTAAAAATGACAACAGGATAGCAACAGAAGCTAACATTAGATAAGCTAGTAAGATGACTAATGAAGTCAGCTCTGTACTTAGTGGAAGAAAGAATCTGGGAGAAGAAGAGATCCTCTGAAGCATTTCAAAACTAGTAGGCATAGTGCAACCTGGAAGTAATAACAGTAATAATGATGGTGGTAATAATAATAATAGAAAAAAGGAGTGTCAATGTCATTTCAAGATAGTCATGACACATTAAGATAAAACTAAAACAAGAGTCATGTTAGCTTTGTTATCATAGGAGGTTGTTCTCATGGGGACATGACCAGAAGCTGATTCACCCGTGAACCTATCTTGATAAAGGGATTCTACCACCTTGAAAAGAGAGGACAGACTGAAAAGGGCCTCTTGAACCTACATGGACTTTAGAGCATGGACTGTGTGTCTATACTGCCTGAACCGGACCATGTTAGGTGAATCACACCAGGAAATGCTGCCTGCATGGTAACAATATGAGAGGTTCTTTCCATAAGTGAGGTCCAACTCTCCTCTCTCCTGGCCAAAGGTCTTTGGCCTGGTCTGGGGACTGCACCGGTGGGGATCCCAGGGGAAGCTTCGGTCTTTCTCACTGCTATGGACTGGCTCCATGAGAGAGCCTGGATGCCTTGGTAGGATCAAATAAGAACGGTTTTCTGGAGAAAAAGGAACTCTGCTTCTCAAAACCACCCATTTCCACCAAGGAAGCAGAGGGTTTCATTGAAGACCGCAAGGCTGTAAGCACTGGTCCCTGGGCCCCACCAAGGTCACTGCTGAGGGGGGTCCATGAGGCTTTGGGCCCCAAGATCTGACCTCTTCATACTTGCGGTCGGCATCTTCAGCAATGTGCTTGGCCTCTTTCAGTTGGATCTCCTGAATTTCCATTTTCTCCTCATCCTTTTGGGCTCGACTTTCAATGACTTTCATGCCTCTGAAAAGGAAGAGAAGCAGGAAGACCCAAGGTTTAGAGGAGACCTCCGTAAACCCACACTGCACTGCACTGGTCCATGAGGCTTGGTGTAACTGGCAGACCAAAATAGACCACAGAGCTGCTTTTATTTCCCAAACCATGAAGTAAGAGTTTCCAGAGCTGAAGGCAGAAAAAGACATACACTTCTCTGTTTATTGTGAATGAAACCTCACACTTTCAATGCTAGTGAAGCTGTCCAGGGATCCAATGTTAAATGAAAGGTACCATGTCAGGATCCTGTTTGAAACTGGGAGGCACGGAAACAGGAAAAGCCAACATGCTTTACTTGCTATATAAATAATGAGATTTCTTCCTTTTCCTAGTGGGAAGATTCAGCTCGAAAATGGACCAAAGTTAGAACAAAAACAAATCTGTCTTCACGTACTTCTTCCCTCAAAGAAGGTAGCTACTCTTGCCCATTAGTCACAAATGTAAATATTAGATTGAACCATATGAAAATTGCTGATACTTATGTCAGACCTGCAAAAATGGCAATTTCATATGGATCAACTGAATACTTTAGATAACAAACTATGAGTTTTGCCTTTAATAGAATTCTTTCATAACAGAGGTGTTGAGAGATAGACTGATACCATCGCCTGTGCTGTGTTTGGATTTCACAGTGTTACGTTTTGGAAAATGTAAAGTGTTGTGTGATATATTACAGTTTTATGGAATAAGTCATTTTAAAATGGGATTCATTTACCAATATCTAAGTAGGCAGTTCAGACAATGAAGTACTACAGTATGTATCAGGAGACTAAAATTCTTGCCTTGTCTATAAATTCCCTGTGAGACTTTGGGTAGGCCACATCAACTTCTAAGCCCTAGTTTTCTCATTTGTAAAATGAGGGAACCGGGGTGAATGATCTCTAAATTCCTTTTTTTCCTACAAAGTCTAACATTACCAGATTGCCTTTTAGGTTTACTAACAAGTATATTTCAGGAAGAGGCAGCCACAAAACCACTGGTATGTGTGCACTGTAAAAGATAAGTCATTTTAAGGAATTCCAAAACTCTGGGTTAGGGAAGAAACAATAAGCAGCAGTGAATTATAAGCTGGAAACTTCAACTTAAATGCTTCTTTAGTCTTCAAGGCTGAAATCACTCCTTACCCATGGTGGCAGGGAGCAGAAACTCACTTCTCTCGCAGAAGGGGAAATGGAAAGAATGATGGAATACCTTCACCTGCCCAGGTCACAGCACAGATGCTCACTCCTGGTGTTCTGAGCCACCACATGACTCTGTCATCCCTCCAAGCAGGAGAACTCTCCAATTTCATGGGGTCTGTCTTGGAATGCTTCTATGCAATATGAATACATTAACTGAAGCAGTTGAGCATAAGAGAAAATGACTTCTAGAATACACAGAGTTGTGCTGGGCTATATGGCCACGGTTTTCCTTCACTGCCACAAAGCTGAATCTTGGAGTAATTATCAGGTGGAGCTAGGTTACAGGGAGTGGGCTCTGAATACATGTGTGTTTGACTGTATTTACGCGTGCGTGCACGCGTATCTTATCAGCATTACTAAGTCCAAAACAATTTACTTTTGCAGATAGTATTTCTGTTTTATCGGTGCGTCCTCTCCCAGCCATTTGCTGGGTTATTTGACAACTGATAGTCCATGGTCCATTTATCTAGGCCCAGTCTTCTTGGCATATTTTAAATAAAGTTTATCTTTTAAAAATGCCTAACTGCTCTGCGGTCAGCAGGAACGAAAGAACCGATAGGCATCCCTAGGATTTCTCATTTAAATGTCCATCTCGCTCTCTGGACAATGAGCTCTATGAAGGCAGGAATAGGATCTCTCTCTTCTTTGTAACCTTGGGGTTTAAAGGTTTGTACACAGGTGCTCCACTAATGTTAAACGAACAAACCTAGTAAAGTTATACCTGGGGTCAACTGAGGAGATGATTCCACCAAAGGACTGTAAAATTCTGAAGCCCCAAAGATCAGAGAAGCCCTCCTGTTCCACCAGGAGGAGAGGCCTGTGCAGCAAGGGTGGGCTGGGAAAGGCACCCTCACCTCTCACTCTCGTCCGCTGCCTTCTCGGCCTCCTCCAGCTTCTGCAAAGCTGTTGCCAGTCGCTCCTGGGCACGATCCAACTCTTCCTCAACCAGCTGGATGCGTCTGTTCAGAGAAGCTACATCGGCTTCAGCCTAGGCAGAGACAGTGAAAGGCATTTCAGACTGGGAGAGAAAGTGAGGGCGCGCCTGTACAAAGTGGCTGAGCCAGAAACACCGATTTTGGACAGGAAGCCTGCCCTGGGGTGAGCTACCTTTAAGTGCATCACACGCCCTGGTCAAGCCCAGAGTTCTTGGAGACATTGCTACATTGATTTATACAGTGAATGGCCACACACATGTTTCTAAGTCCACATACACAATTCTCAGCGGAGAGAGGGACCGTTAGTAAGCTCTCTCACTTGGTTCCTATGTTCCACAGAACTCCATGCTGGCTCCAGCCGACTGCTAAAGGAGCGCTTCATTATGGCCACCTCCCTCACGGGGGCCTGAGGACTGGACAGACAAGAGCTACCCAGGCTCCGCCACATGAGACAAGAGCAGTCCAGGCAGAAACCAGACTCAGGAGTCTGCATTCTCCTTTCTCCTGGCCACTTTCTCAAAGGAGTCTTATAAAGGAATTAAAATATCTAAAAACTCAGCCGTTCTAAAATATACACCATACAGACACAACCACCCCTCCCCGACCCGTTTCAGTAACCCCTTTCAGAAGAACTCGGTCATACTGGAACAGGGCCAAGACAAATTTCCCAAGTGTTCTTGAGATAAGCTTACTGGCATTTCTTACAAGGTTGCTATAAGAAAAGTTTCAAACTCCTTAGGAGAAAGCAGTATAGATACTATTTTTATTTGGTATCTGCATCTAAATTAAAATGTTAGTTTTTGGGGGATGCAATGATTACCTACTATCATAAGGACTTTTTACTATGAGCCTCAGAACACTTGTAAGACTGTGATGATACACTACATACACTTGCACGGATGTTAATTTAAATAGTATGCATTTAAATATTGCATAATAATATTATTATTGGTGTAATTTAAATATTATTGCATTTAAATATTATGTGTGGAAGTCACAGAGAGAATGTACTAATCAGGTACCAGTTCCTCATCTGCATCCACTGTAAATGTGTGTTTATCCTGGGGTGAGAAGGTTTTCAGGACACCACCTCAGAGTTTTCTAAAAATTACCATACATACTTAAGGCACCCATGCTATTTCTATCCATATTCCTGCGTTCTTTACTCAGCTGGAAGCTTCTTACATGTAAGGAATTACAGTTCCCTACACAGAAAGAATATGGGCTCAGTAAACATCTACTGAATAAAATAAGTAAGACCGACTTAATTTAAACAAAAGCAACTTTCTTAACTCATGGACTCCTGATGTACACAGTCTAAAAGGCACACGTAGTTGGAGAGAGGCTCTGATTATGGCCTTGAATGAAATAAATATGAGAACATTCAGCTCTTTGCTCCTCTGGATTTGTAAAATTTTAAATGCCAAGTTTTGTTTGGGAAAGAGAGGTCATTAGGGCATCTCGAACCATGGTGAAGGCCTCTTTATAAAAAATTCAAGTACACTTTTATCTCGACAAAAATTAAGTATGTTGTAATAACAGGCTGATGGAGACAGGGAATAGGAGAAATGGGAACTGAGGATCTGAGGAGGACAGTTTGCAACCCTATAGGCCCACAAAGTAAATCCTTAGGGGTGCACAGCTGGTAATGGGTTCTGCTAAGTCTGACTGGCTGATGAGTACGTTTTTTTCTAGAGGAGGGGTAAGAGTGAGAGGGACAATGCATTTCTTGTGTAAAAGGAACTATCGTTCTAGTCCTGTTTCTTAAAAATTGGAAGGAAGTATACATTTAAGGGTATACTTTTAGGTCAGGTCAGCTCTGTTCACTTTCCTGTATTTTCCATTTCTAGTAAAATTCTATCCCTTTTATGAACAGGGCCTGTGGTGGTGGGTGGGTGGGGGGGGCGCTGTCAGGAAACAAGCAAGTGTGAAAGTTAAAACAAAAATGGAGAGCAAAAACCAAAAATACCTTAGTAGAATGTCTGGGTCATATACTTAAAAGTATTCCCCACCTTTTGTTATTATTTTGAATATGAAGGCAAGTATCTTTGTTACAGGTGCTGTGGCCAGAGAAATGTCAACATGATTTTCTAAATGTTTTCTTGTAGTTTCTGCTCTATGTTCCACCTGAGCCCCAACCCTGAGGACTTTGTACTCACAAAAAGAACACAGTCTATGCTCTGGGGAAAGGACCTTCCAGATGGCAGGCAGTCTAGGTCCTCAGCTTGTCATGTGGCCGGGGCACTGGAGAGTAAGGAGACCATGCCCCATGCTCATTCTTGCCTCTGCACACAAGAGCTCCCTGCCTGAGCAGCTCCCACCAATCTGTAGCTTCCCTCTTGTTGTCCCTCACTCTTAACCACTCCCTCCTTTAGCTCTGGACCCTGATAACGTTAATGTCACAACTCTTTCCCAGGAGCATGTCGCAGAACCTTAGACTTCTTGGCATTAGACAGGGCCTCATACAGGGCCCGTAAGCAACAGCTGGGAATGGAGGTCCATTCTAGCAGCCAGGGCTGTGCACAGAGACCTGTGGCTGGTTCACAAAATGGGGTCTCAACTGTTTAACTGGAAGAGTCCCTAGGCATCATCCAGCAGTTCCCACGACTGGCTGAGCGTCAGAGTCCACAAGGAGGTGTGTATTAATGATGCAGACTTCAGCCCTGTCCCCAGAGATTCTGATTCAGGAGGTGAGAGGGGAAGGAAGGCATCTGCAACATAAATAAGCACCGTGTGCCATCCCTCTACCTTCCAGTCCCCACCATCCAAAGAAGCTGCCAAATCCTGTGAGAACCACTCTTCTAGCTCTCCTTTCAGAAGAAGGGGGAGAGGAAGCTTGGGCCAGGGTGCTGACCCTGCTCAGGCCATACAGACAACAGGGGAGACAAGACTAAAACCCCAGTTGTCTGGGTCCTCATGTGTGGCCCTGCCACTTCTCACGGCCTCCAGGGATCTCACAGCGGCACTGGAATTGGTGGTTCTTACCTCTTATCTTCTCTCTTCCTATGTCAGAATGGGAAGTCCTCTACAGTTTCTCCCAACACAATTCCCCACGTGGACGAAAGGCTTCGGTGACAGGGGCCAGCCAGAACTCGGAGAACAGTTACTGTACTGCAGAGCAGCCACTACCTCCCTTCGGAGGTATGGTATTCCACTGAAAACTTCACCAAGCAGCGCTCATGGGTGACATCTCACAGGCGGACACAGAGCCATTTGCTCTCAAGCTGGGAAGCCAACGCCTGCTGCCCTTGAGGTTTCACAGCAACACAGACAAAGGTGCCTGCTGGCTACAGCTGGGACCTGGGAGCAGTGTCTGGGATATGTCTATCTGCACGTAAGCTTTCCCTGGGAAAAACCAGGACTCCCACTGGCTTCTCAGGCCCTACCATACTGGGCTCGTCGTAATTCTGTTTGGGTCCCTAGAACTCAACTTTAATTCCATAAATTAATCACGGGTACTTCGTTTATTTTTATGTGTGTGTGTGAATATATGTGTGTGGTTTGGACTATGCTCTGTGTTCAAAAGGCCCCTACTTCTCACCTTCACTAGCTTTTATTTCCAGTATGTGTTTTCTAAGTTTGGAGGTTTATTTAGGTATTCTCTAAGGTTCCTTCATCACAGAACCTGGGTAGTCTACTTAAGATTTAAGCTTTGATTACCTCTGCCAGTACAAGTCCCCAACCACATGAGTATCTGTTATTTAAAAAGCACATATAAACAACAAGGAGTGTAGGAAGGGTCAAGACTCCAGATGCAAATTATTTCCAGGCAAGGAAGTCACCCTTAGTGTGCTGGGTTGGCTTCTTCTAACAATATGTTGATAACTACTGGTGGAGTCTTTCAGTTTGGGATGCTGGTTTCTTTTATTTCTAAAGTGCTATTGTGTCCCAACATGTAATGAGCTACTCAGAAAAGAGACTGCTATACTAGTAAAAGCTACCAATTATCTCCCTGCAGATCTGTTGTTAAACAACCACCAAGCACTTAGCAGCTGTGCCTGGCCTGTCCCCTCACCCAACCCAAAGGTACTAGCTACCTACACGGAAAACAAGGGCAGGCACACCACTGCCCACAATCCCCAAAAGGTACTACAAAGAAATCAAGGGGAGTAGAGCCACTTCAACGCAGCAAAATATTACCCCAAATCCAACTAGACAGAACACTTTTATGATGTCTAGATTTTCATGAAATCCAGATGTTTCAGCCAATACAACAACAACAAAGTAAATAAAAATACCAATGATTTTTACTTTAAGAAAGTATTCTAGTTAAGACAGTAAAGAAAAAAAAATAACTAGGAGAATAACATTCTATCCTAAAAAATGATCCTCTGGAATATGTTTTCAAAGTCCTGCCCGAATCAGAGTGGAACATGGGATGATCAAAGGTCAGGCATTTTTATTTCATGCAAACTGTAGTTATAAAGTGAAGGTTTCACCCAATTTGCTGTGTAAGACCAAGTGACTACAGCCAAGTTAAACTTCTGCCCTTATATGGTAAGGAAAGGGGAAAAAAAACCCACTGATGACATTAAGGGGCACTCCCATGGATAACAGATAAACACAACCTCCTCCTCTGTGCCAAGGCCTATAATTTATGAGGCATATTTGTATAATGAGGGAGAACGGACATGAACAGGGCATTGTAATGCCCTAGCCGTGCCTACATATGAAAACAGAAATCATGAGTGTATATTCCAGTTATTGCCAGTCTGGGGGTGCCAATGTGAGCACAAAGTGCACTCCTGAGTTTCCTAGTCTCAAAGCTATTTACCAACTCGAAAGTGGGAGAGGGCAGGAGACTTTTGTTAATTGATTATTTCCCATTACTTAATAAAGTTGCTAGTTAAGAACCTATAGGCTACAACTTTAAGTCTCGTGGTTTGCTGGATACTACCCAGAAAGGAGGAAAGACTCACTCCTTCGTGCTACCTTTTCCTTTGATAATAACAAAAAACATGCAAAACCCTGGTGTGTCACAAGACCTAGAGTCAATCATTATATCGAGCAAAGTATGCCCATTCCAACAGTTTGAAGGGCCCACACACCTTGG